ATGCAGATGATGTTATTTCTCAAGTTAGGTTGAGATGTCACATGGAATCTTGTGACGACTAATCACCTTTTGCCTGCAGTTTAACCAAAGAAACGACTAAATTATCCTCTAAATTGAGCCTTGGGATCCTCTCCTAATCCTAATATCTCCTCATGAGGAGAGGGAAGAGTTGGGAGGGGGCCCACAAGGATGGGTGGCAAAATGAAAGGCCAGGATCTCCTCATGAGGAGATATTAGGAACTTTTCATGAGAGGATCCCAGTCCCTAAATTGAGGGGTAAAAGGTAACGTCTAAGGTCCATGTTGATCAGGTACATTTTGATGATACAAATATACTGTGTTTGGCTAACTTGGTTATTGCAGTGTCAAAAAATATATCCTGCTACATCAATCAAGTTGATCAAGCAGTGCTGAAGAGAAATCAAGATAAAGTTCAACTTCATATTGTAATTTTTACTTTATCTTAGATTGTTAAAAGCCTTGATGCGCACACACACACAAACCATGACTTAGTTTATAAGTTCTAAGTCCCCTATTTGACTAATGATAACCCTAGTCGACTTATAAAAGAACTAATGAAAACTTATATTTTATGCAGTAAAAATAACATGTTTCAGTGATGCATTAACTTTAAAAATCTTTATAAAATCATAAGAGCATTTGATTGGGATGATTTTAGATTCATCACGTAGATATTTGAAATACGCATCCAACGCATCCAAAATCACTCAATTCAGATGTCGTAGTAAGAAGTTATGTCCATTTAAGTGTATGTTGCTGATTTTGCTTTTTTGGTCAGTCGACTGTGTCACTGTAGTAGTCAACTGACTAGCCTGTTTGCTCAAAATTAAAATCTCTCTGGCCAGTCGACTGATCTTTATATCAGTCGACTAATCTTTATATCAGTCGACCGATCTTTATATCAGTCGACTGATTCAACAAACAGTCGTTTTTTAAAGTCTCTGGCCAGTCAACTGATGAGTCCATCAGTCGACTGACACAGGCAGTTTATTACTGTTTGATTTTGATTTTCAAATTGAATTAGCCGTTTATGGCAACTAAAACTCGGATTTTGAAAACAAAATTGAACATATAAGTTATGCCTTTTGGTCTGAATATATACCTTGGAGTTCATTTTTCAATATACAAGTTCTTGAACCAAAATTTTCATATGCTCTTGAGTTGAAAATCTGCAAAAAAATTAAAACTCTTCTTGCCTTCTATTTTCCAAAAGCTTTCAAGTTTTTGTTAAGCATCCAAAGAGAGATCCTATTAGCCACTGATTCTAAGAGCAATTCTTTATCAAGGCATATAGGCAAAGTGTTGTAATCTTCTTCAAATTATTCTCTCTAGTTTGAGGTAAGGTTCTTCTCTGGTTTGAGAGGGGTCTGAATTTTAGTAAGGGGATTGTCAAGGTTATGCAAGAGTTATTCTTGTAAGGAAATTTAAGAATAATGAAAAATCTTAAGCGGGTTGCTTGGGGACTGGATATAGGTCTGGAGGATCGAACCAGGATAAATCCTCGTGTTTGCGATTGTGCTTTTCTGGTTTGAGTATTCTATTTCTGCTGTGATTATTAATTGTTGATGAAATAATCTTATTTCGCTGCATAGTTATTTTCAATTTCGCAAAAAAATATAAAGCACTATTCACCCCCCCTTCTAGTGCTTTGAGCATTGCATACATGATCCAACAGTTCAGAATGCCTATATGCAAAAGACATAGGAAAAGTAACAGCATTGATTATTGTTTACATTTTAAGTTTCACTTTTGTTCATGACTTCCATCAAGGCAGCAGAATTGGCACAAAACTGACGAGGAAAAGAAGCTGACTATGCCACATCCTCAGAACCCATTAATTTTGATGAAACATCAATGGCTCAAATAAATTGCAATAAAAAAATAAATACAAGTTGATTACCTTGTGCATTCTTATGTTTAGCATTTGCACCATGATCCATGAGAATGAAAACAATATCAGTTTGATTGAAAAGGGCAGCCTGCACCAATAAACAAAAATATCTGAACACTCATCTAAAGAATGCCATGAGTTTATTTTTTATGTTTGAAAGAAAATATTCTTTTTAGTTTTCACAGATTCTGAAATTACAGAATATTAGAGAATAATAACATTTATTGATTATATGGCATCAAAAGGTATATTATGTCTAAATAAAAAAATTAGAATAATGCATGGACGAGATAATCATGAAAGTTTAAAATTCCTACTCAAAATAGAAATTCCAGTGTTACTCCTTTAGCTAATTTTCATACTTTTCACATATCTAAACACAATTTGATACAACCAATTTGATCTGACACATTCAGGAAGACTAGGACTTACTACCCTTAACTGCATATTCAGTCAACTCCAACTTTGTTCAGAACAACAGATGATAACTGCTATGGATCTTAAACAACAAGTTGATATTAAGAATAACACAACAGAATCATACCAAATGTAGCAAAGTCATCCCCTGCTTGTCACAGTAATTTGCATCCACACCCTGCGCTATAAGGAAAAATCAGCCTAAAATCAACAGAGAGAAGCAAAGACCATGAATTATGAATATTGCTACCTCATTCAAAAGTTTCTTGACAGCAGTAACATCACTGTTCTTGATGGCTTCTCTTAAACCCTGAAAGTGCAATAGAAAAATGTTTCTAATGAGATCCTTGGTGACAACCGACTACGAAGGTTGCATTCACAGAAACAATGGCAGTTGATTAAAGATCAGTAGATAATACCTCTCCACTAATGTCATAATCAGCTGGATTTTTGTTTAAGCTACCGTTGCTTGCTTGACCAAGGTTGAAAAATGGACTGCACATAATGATAATCCATAATAAATATGCTAAATAGCTAAATAACTATGTATGATTTTACTTCTTCAGAGTCCAAACCGCATGTCCAGATATTGGAGGAATATAACATCTAGAATTTGCTAGGTACAAAGACTTAGAATATAACCTAGGTTTGCTGCTAGAAGATGAAGCTTGCTTTCTAGGAATAGGTTCCGCAGGCTTTTTTGGTCTTGGGTTGGGCTGAACAACTGAGACAGTATTATTCTGGCAACAGTAGCATATTAGCCAATCAACCAAATGTTGGTGATATTCAAGCCAATCAAAGCCTAAAAGTCAACTACCTGTGCAGGGACTGGGTCAGGAATTGGAGCTTCACATATGCATAAAGGCATTCCACATTTGCAGTCTGGTACAGTCAAGACAGGTTCTCGAGGTGCTTGAGCATTTGAAACAACATCCTCACCCACATTTAATCTTCGGAACTTATCTGTTACAGCACTTGTGCCATCAGTAGAAGTTTGATTATCATTTTTCCCAGACCTACAGCAATAATGAAAACATAAAACATGTCATAGAACTGGATTTATGGAAATAGTAATGTCGAAAAATGTCTATAAAGGTAGTGTGCAAGTTTTAACAGTCATAATGCAATTAAACTTCACAAAGGAGACAAAATAAGCACGACCATCACTGTCAGCTTGTTAAAATGAAGGTGTTTTATCTTGAATACATGTGGCATAAATGTATATAAACATATATTTTGTCTTTGTTAAAGCTAAACATTCCATGACCCCATAAGCAGAAACTTCATGCCAAGCTTTCCCAGTGTATTATGTGTTTAACGAGGTCAATAGAAAATGGGAAACCATTACCTTTAAAACAAACTGGTTACATTTCTGTAATTATGCATGTTACAAGAAATAAAGCAAGCTGAACGCAAATTAGGCACACCAATTGCGTTTGGCGCCAAATTAGCTGGCATCCTGCGAGGTCAGTATCTGTACCTCCTCAACTAGTGTTTATGATATCAGAACTGGGGACAACAAGAGCCAGATAATTCCAGTACATAAGCATATAAACTAATGATTATCCATTGCATTTTAACCTTAACTCTTCAAGGAATACTGATATTAAATTATCACAGAAAATGTACATTAAAGTATAGGTTAAGTGAAATACATTACAAGTTTCAACATAATGAATATGAGAGATTACCGAGAATAATTATTGAAACAATCACTGCAGACTCTGACATTTGTGTATATGCCAAATTGAGGAAGAGCCTGGATGCACAAGCAACTTAGAAACAATATCTTTAAACCTAAAGTTGATAAATGAAAACAATAATAGGTCGGATTTACAATATAGTAAAGAAAGAAATGCATACCATCTGATTTGAGGAGTGATCATGACACAGTGTCCTGCCACAGGATCGGCAATGATGCTGCATAAAAAGACCAACATCACATGTAAATATGCAGTCAAAGAAAAACCTAGAAGCATGTATTTCTAAAAAAATAATGCCGATAACAAAAGAAAAGAAAGCAGGAAAGTAGTATCATCTTTTGAAATTATATTTGTTAAGATAGAATACATTTGTACAGGTGTATAGGCCCACTATTGAGCCGCTTGAGCCCATGTATAGTCTATATATTGAACTGTCTTACAAGATCAATACAACAAAGATTTTACTCTCTAAATTGATACGGTATCAGAGCTGTGATATCAAGTCAATCCTGGCCACCCACAAAACTCAGTCAAAATCTCAACAATCCATAGAAATCCTAATTCTAACCTAAGCCCAAAACAATCCAGCCGCCCTTTCTTTGCCGGAGCACGCCGTCATGAGCCGGAGATCCAACGAGGTTAGTCTCGCTGGTCTCGTTGGCCCTCATCACAGCCCCTCGCAATCGATCTCCTGCCATGCACTAAATCCAACCAGGTTGGATTCGCCATCGATCTCTTGCTATTTTAGAACTCATCGCCTCTCATCAGATCTCATCGTCAGATCTCGCTGTCGCTCGTCCTTACCTCTCGTTGATGACTCTCGTGGTCATCATCATCGTTCGCCACGCACATCGACATCGTTCTTGATCACTGTTGCACCTTAAACCGCAGCTGGATCTTCCCGTCGACCGCTGTTGCTTCTCCTGCCGTAAACCGCTCGCCTGGATCTTGCTCGATCTTGACAGACTCTGAACAAGTGGACTTCAGTTGCCCTTGATATAATATACCTTTAGTGGTATTTTTGCCTTGAAAAAAAAATCAAAGAGGTGCCCAACTATGACTTGAGTTGCTCCACCAATTGGCAGTCAAGTCGTTAGCTACGTTTGCCATCTGTGACATTAAATTTGATAAGTGAATTTTACAACTTTGGGATTTTCAGATCTTGATATCAGATCTCACTCTTGATCATAATCATCATGAACAAGCAAGAACTTTACACCTTCCCAACTATTGATATTCAACTCATTGGAGTTG